AAATGCTGATGTAGATGCAGAAGATGCACAGAACGCCTCGGCAACACAGACAGCACCACCTTCTTCATTGAACACTACAGCAGTGACTACTCCAGGGCACACCTTTCCGCAGACTGCAACTACACCAAAATATAAAACGAGCAGAAAACGCTATGAACCACCATCTTCGTCTGTACAACAGCTCATTAATTATTTTGAAGGTAAAAAAACCTAAAAAAGAGAACGAGGCCATTGATTCACTTTTCTTGGCACATGCACAGACTGTGAAAACACTTTCTTTAAAGCGTCAAGCCCGAATAAAACTAAAACATATTGAACATATTGAAGAAATGTCTTCAGCGTCTACCCAGAATTCTGCAAGTATGTATGATAGTAGAATGTCGTCCTTCCCAAGCGGCACTGGGTTTACTCCAATAATATACCCAACAGAGGAGGCAAATTCTGCCTCGAATTATTTAGCAACATTTAATCCATGTAGTCCAATTATTACAATAAAATATTTATTTCACGATCCCTGAAGTTTTCGTATTCGATAAGCCTACTAATTTTAATACATATAATTTTTTTACCTGAGTGTAATAGCAAGTCGTTCTTCTGGCGAAATAGCTTCACGATAATTTGTGTCAGATTTTCGTATTTCATCTTTCATCAAGTTCAATATTTCATCGAAACACTCTGGAGTCATTCTAAAATATACGTAAAAGCGCTGTTCATCCAGCCGAAGTTGTGGCATCAAGGTATGGTATTCCCCATATTCCCCAAATTTATTTCGTTCCAAGTTAATATCATGTACCCACTTCCTTCGTTTCCTAAACAAAATTGAAAATATTTTTTTTATATACTTCGTTAAACTTAAAACATACCCAACTATCAAATGGCGTTAAATAAACATAACTTACCGTGCATTTTGTTCCTCTTCTAAAGCGAGAAATAGAAGTGCCTCCTCTTCTTCTGAAGACGAGCTCATTGCAAAAGGCAAAAATAAAATGTACGCAACCTGTCGAAACCTTCACGTTCGCGGAGCGAATAAGACGCTTTGGTATGAATAAACAGGCGAAACAGATTGCGAATTTCGCTCTGAATTTCGTTGCGAATACTTCGCCGCGATTATTTCGCGCCGGTTTGTGGGATGCTTTAAAAAACATCCTATCAAATATAATATCTAGAAAATCGACCTATTATGTCTTGAAATTTCATTGGTGGATTGATTAGATCCTCCGTGATTTGTAAACTGATAAGAGATAGCAAAATACATGAATGTTGGAATCAAAAAGTGCCTTTGTTTACAATACAATCGCTTTTTTACGATTTTATTCAATATTTTAATGGAAATCACTGTCATTTAGAGATTTTTGACAGCTTCCGTCAAATTGCAGTTAGATAAGGTGGTTCATTGGTTCAAGTGACCGTCACATATTAATGTTGGTGAAATCCACTCTTATTGCATTCAATTTTCTGGGGCATCCTGTACCTACATGTGATAGGATTGTTGGTGAACTGGCTAATAGGTATGATGAAAAGAACGTGAATGAATATCAAACAATTATTACATATCGTTTACCGAACCCAAATACCCTATAATGGGATACTGCCTGCCCATCTTGGTATTTCGGAAACTACTCGTGGAAAAACTTTAGGCCTACGAAAACATTTATTCTACGTGATATTACCTACACCATACTAAATTGAAAATATATCCTGAATCCATTCCCAGTCAGATTTGTGCGAGGTCTTTTGCTAGGTAACTTCTCACGCCGATGGCAAAGAAGTATTGAAAATTAGATGTCTTATTTCGATAGACCGTGCCTCCGGTATAGAGGATAGTTGCGATGCTTTCGTTCGTTCGACCTTGGCAAAAGACCAAGAATAGACCATGTTGATGAGTAGCTAATAAACATAAAACAGCTGTCCATGGTTGGTTGTCTTTTTTGCCGAACTGATGAAAGCTTCATATGCTGGGCTTAACTTTTTTTATACCAAATCAGCCGCGCAAAGCCTAAACGACGGGACACCGCGGCTGCTACGAGGATCCCAATGACATTTTCTTAATCCGATTTTTGAACTCCTAAGGTCAGAAGAAGTGGGAAAAGCTTCCTCTTGTAGATTGTTCCACAATCTCCATACCCTGGGGACAACGAAGCGGTCGCATCGGCCAGTTCTGGATGTACGAAGTTCGACACGGCTATAGTCAAATACCAGAATTGATGACAGTAGCAGAAGTCCTCGTGCGCCATTGCTTTGACGCGATTCCTTTTGATCGCAGCGATATTTGCCGACATTTCACAAAGAAGCGCCGCATTTTCGAAGGCCTCGGCGAAATAGCAGTGGCGTACGATTAGTTTCGCTACTGTCATCAATTTCGGTATTTTACTATAGGATGGGAAGTCAAAATCAGGCGGGTCTGTTTGGCAGGCACATTGCACGGCGGCATCATGGAAGAGAGCTCTGAGCAGCAGAGCCCGTTGGTGTAGCGGTAGAAGACGGTCCCAAGGCTGTCTGCTAGAAAAGAGTCATCGATCAGTCGGACAGCCCTCCTCTGGACAGCATCGAACATAAATAATGTAGTGGAATGGCAGCAGGTGATGTCGATAAAAGTACTTAGCTTTAAACAAATAGCCTAGCTTTTTCCAAACAGCTGTCGGTATTGACGAGACGTGTTCGTGACAGATCAAGTCCTCGGTGATTTGGACTCCGACCAGTCGAAATGAACGGCTCTTTGGCAGAACTCGGCCATCCATCGAAACCGGATGAACGCCAGGATGCATTTTACTCACCAAGGTACAGTACTGGGTTTTGGAAGCATTAAGCTGTACAAAATTGTTGCGTCCCCAAGCAGTCATAACCTCGAGGTCTCTTGTCATAGAGGAAGTTATCGCTAGTGTTCTTTTTTCCAGCTCAGTGGCAGAGATCGGCTTGTCACTTTGAATTCCTGCATGTAGAGTGCTGTCATCCGCGAAGCTGTGGATTGGGTTGTCCTTGCAGGAAAGGAGGTCGTTGATACATAAGAGGAACAGTGTCGAAACCAGAACCGATCCCTGGGCAACATCCGCATTGACTTTTCTGGATGAATAGGAGAACCTGTCAATTACGACGGATATCTTGCGGCCAGAAAGAAAGTCGGCCATCACTCTGCAAATATTTTTCTGGGAGGCCTTAGGATGGAAGAGCATAAGAGGGCAGCGTTCGTGATATCAAGAGAAACAACATGAGCCTCACCATAATACTGCCTGTCGCTAGTCAAGCCGTGACGTTCGAGGCAGTCCAGAAGCTCGCGATTTATGTATCTCTAATGGGTTGGACATGAGCAAATTTTCAGTTTTCTAGGATGGTGCCGGATTAGTAAGTTATCTGGAAGATACGCGAAAGAACTGGAGTAAGCTCCGCTGCATACCTCTTCAATACAACGGCAGGAATCAAGCCCGGACTAGCTTTGTTGATGTCGAGCTTTGTTGGCAGCAAAAAACCTGGCAAGCACTTCCGCCTTAGCCTTACTCCACAATTGCGTGACGTAAGCTAGGAGGTCCCCTGTGGATCGTTGGTGCCGGAAACCATACTGCCTAATCAAGCCTTGAAGTTCGAAGTCGCGATTTATGCACCTCTCCATCACCTTATTTATAACAAAGCAAAGCTATAGGCCCGTAGTTGTAAGGGTCGGTTTTAGATCCCTTTTTTTTGATGGGTTGGACATGAGCAAATTTCCTGTTTTCTGGGAAGGTGCCGGATTCGTAAGATATCTGGTACAGACGCGAAAGAACTGGAGCAAGCTCCGTTGCACACCTCTTCAGTACATTGGCAGGAATCATGTCCGGAAAAGAAGCTTTGTTGATGTCGAGCGACAAGAGCACCCGTCTTACTGTCTTACGCATGCATGTTGCTTCCCGCATAGTGTAGGGAACCCTTTGAATCGGCAGCACTTGGGCGTTGGGGGGACTTCCATGGTGGGGTTGGCAGCAAAGATCTTGGCAAGCACTTCGGCATTGGCCTTTGAGTCGGCTACAATCGTTCCATCCTGACACGTAAGTGGAGGAAGGCTACTGCGTGAGAAGTTCGTTTCAATCTGCTTGACCAGCGTCCAGAAAGACCGACAGCCATTGTGCTGCGACATTACCCGGTGCCTAAATTTTATATTTTACTAGACTTTGGCATTACGAACCGCTTCGTTATATTTGCTTCTGGACTCGACGCCGACTTGTCTCTTTTCCACAGTGGGGTTTTGTAAGAAGGTTCTGTGTGACCTGATCTTCTGCTGGGTAGCAGTGTCACACGATCTGTTAGGCCAGCCGTTGGACCCTATTTTAGCTACTGTCACTGTATGAGGGACGTATTCCTTCATCCCTACGTGGATAATTTCGGATATCGAAGAACAGTCGGCCGACGCATCCGCGTCAGCGAAACAAATATCTCTTCAACGAAAGCTAGAGAAGAAGTCTCTGGAGCCCCTCCCAGTCGGCATGTCCGTAATGCCAAGTTTTGCGGCCTGTACGAGTTTCTGCTGCCACAGCGGGTTCTGACCGAAGCCTAACCTCCACAGCATCGTGGTCTGAGTTACCCAGGGGGGACAGGACAGCAGTGCTGTAAGGGAGAGGATGCTTGTCAGAAAGAGATCCAACAGGCTACTGGAATGTTACTATACGCGGAGGAAAAACTAGGTCTCGACACCAGCTGGGTCAGTCCTTGAGTAAAAGCGAACGCTCCACCTGCACGACCTGCTGCATCGGTCTTGTTTGAACCCAACCAATGCTCCACTAATACATATTAAAGAAGAACAAAGCTTTTTGCGGGACTACGGCTCCACTAAGGTGCTTAGCTTAGCAAGCATGAAAAACTTCTGTGAAATATGTTCCAATGAGCATGTTTTGGCAACGAATCTTTTACCGTTATGGACAGTTGAAAACAGATTTTTACACTTTTTCGACAATCCGATTGGTCAACTCGATTTTATGGTTGCAAACTGCTTGAAAATCATTGCTGAAACATGGTTAATATCAATTATACCTTACCCCTTGGCCATATATGTAGATGATTTGGCGTCATCTTGTCTCCCAAACTCGCAGGTATATATAATTCCAGATAACCGTGTTCTATGTGGGTCTGATTGAACTGGAACATAGGTGTCATTAGCATAGCAGATCTTAGAACACTGTACGCACCATCAGCTCCAATTATCAGGTCAGCTGTCTCCTCAAAAACCTCTGTCGTAGTTTTGCTGAGAATTTTAAATTATGATATCAATAATGATAGCAGCCATGACCAGGGGGAGTGTTCTTGAATAATCTAGCATGCAACATATTCTCGCATGCGACAACGGAATTTTATTTTTATGTCACTCTGCAGGAACTTTGCCGTACGCTGACTCCTACCATGCTAGAAAATATTCGCACAGGCTTGTACGATAGGTTAGGTTACTGTCAAGCCTAACAAGGAGGTCTATTCGAACATTTAATTTAATATTTTCTTTTCATTTTGAATGGAATGACGTATTTATTCCATTTTTTATGCAATTTAGTCTTTAATTCCTTTTAGAATTATCGTTGATTTCCACCGGTGGTGATATAATCAACACATCCTGAGCTATTGTTACATTTTCCGTCAGAGAGCGGTAACTAAGTACAGGAAGCACCACCGCAAACCTAGCATCCTAAGAATAACACTGCCGCGGGAAGATGGAAGCAGAGGTCTTATTGATATGAAAAATCTCCATAACAGGATGATTGAGCTTATGAAAGATTATTTCCACCGAAGAAAGCTGACATCATCCCTTCATCAAACTACTTCCCTGGCCGATCACTCATACACGCCACTATATTTAGCAAGTCAGGGTTCTTTAAAAAATAAGGTACCCACATTTTTTTCAGTCACAAGGAATTATTTATTTAAAAAACGGATACACCACTGTAAATGTTGATCTTTAAGCTATTTTTCACCATAATTGCCATTTTGTTCTCCGCATTTTCTTAGACGTGAAATCCACTTTTGGACTCCCAGAATCTTGGTAACTGCTCCTTGTAACTCCTCATCCGTTGACCGCCTTGGTGCTCCTTCAGTTTTGGAAATACTATGTCAGTGCTGTAAGGGGGATGGGTAATGACTTTCCAGCCAAATCGCTCGATCGAGCCCTTCGTTTGTTGTGAGACATGAGGATGGGCATTGTTGTGGTGCAGTCTTATGCTTTGGTGAGGTTTCTCCTACGGCGATTTTGGATTGTCCGTCTTACTTTTTCAGAAGCCTCAGGAATTTCAACCGCCTGCTCCCAGATCGTGATTCGCCGATCTTTCAGGAAAATTTGCTCAATCTTCGCCCCAACCTCTGTCACGTGCCAAAATCATGTAACCTTTTTTTTACTATTTAGATCACTTATCGGTAATTTGAATGTCTTTTTATCGATTATAGAGTACCGATTCCTCGATCAAACCCTTTTTAATTAAAGGGATTATACATCCAGAAAGATGTGCTTTGGCGTCGCATATCAACAACACAGGTCACTCTATGAATTATGGCAGTATTGAGGTTCTTGATAAAGAAAAAAAACTCTCAAAACGTCTATTTTTAGAAATGTCCCACATTTTCATGACAGATCATTGCATGAATAAAAAGGCTGATGTTAAGCAGCTCAGTGTCATTTATTCCTACCTGTTGAATTGCGAAAAGCTAGAACGGCTACATGTCCAAATTGATCCAACATCTTCACAAAATTAGAATACATTTTCTCACTCACATAACCCATCTTTTCAAGGTTGTATCAATATCACACATTCTTGCACTCAGATGAACCACTAACTCTGTTGAAAAACAAGTTATTCCAGCATTTTAGTGGAGATTTACTGAGCGTCCCTCGTATACTTCATACCCAAAGTTGGACAGGGAGGTGCACTTTTCCACGTCCCGTCGCGTCAATCACTTGTCTTCTGTCGACGCTTTACCGTTCCGTGGCGACATCTAACCACAACCACACGGCCGGTTATAGCCACTTGCTGTGGTACTTCAAGCCCAAAGGATCTACAAAGATCGCTCGGGTTACCTCTCCTATTTTCTGCTCGAATCCACTTTCCTTCTTTTTGCTGACTTTGCCCATTATTTTCCTATTTTTTGTTATATACATTTCTCCGCATGATTATTTTCTCTTTATATATATATATATATATATATATATATACAGGGTGACTTCGAAGTTGAGTCATTTATTTTAACAGTGAGTTCAAAAGAAATGTTTTTTTCCTTTACCATTTTTCTGGTAAAATTAAAGTAACGAAGTTATAGCTCTTTAGAAGTTTGAGTACCGCCCTGTCTCAATAATAATATTATGTGCTCGTGCTTGACAACAACGGATATAATCCGCCTTATCGGTTCATCGCATCGGAAACAAAAAGCGAAAGAATTTGGAATGATGTTTTTACAATTATTTTATTCAGTTGTATACAGTCAGTGTCAGTCGGTAACGCGTGAGCGAATAGTGGTGTCTGTTGCGTGGCTCAAACGAAATCAAAAATAGCACATGTTTACGAAAATGCTGAACTTGTGGACTGATTCTTATTTACGCGGCATCACGGATTTATGCGGATCGGTTTCCCAATCGAGTGCAACCAACCCCTCGTTGCCTTTGTTAATGTAGTACAAAGGGCTCGTGAATCAGGTGACTTAAGACCTCACAGGGGAGTGCATGCCGGTGCTCCAAGACCGCACGATCAAATACAGGTCCGCACAGAAATACTTGTCGGGAGGATACTTTATAAAACACGGTAACATTTTTTTTTATTTTTTTTTTATTTTTACACACATATTTTGGTTTATCTTCCTTCTACAATCATTATCTGAAAATTAATGACTGAACTTCAGAGTCACCCTGTATATAGGGTGTTCCTTAATGATATACGAATATTCAAGATGTGAATCTACATGAAAAATTAATGTTAGTTTGCTTTATAAACTATGGTCCAAAAATGTTTCCTTATAAAAACTCGCGGTGTTGAAGTTTTAGGAAAAAAATGGAAACTAATTAATATTTTCAGAACCGCTTCAGATATTTCACTGATATTAAGTACGTAGTGAAAGTTAATATAGTTGCATATTTTTCAATGCAAAAATAAATTTAGTTTTATCAGTGGCGTGCGTACGGGTATTGACTTCAATATTTTTTAAGAAAAAAATGATACACCAATGGTTCTTAGCCAAATAATAATTATTTTTAAATTCCCCGTTCAATTTAAAACAAATGATCTCTCTTGAATTGTTTTCCACCGATGCGCCATTTTTGAGTAAAAAATAAAAACCGTTCTATTGTCTAAATTCCAAAATTATTAATAATTTAATTGAAAAAATTTAGCACATTAGGGGTAATGAACAACAACTGACAACATAAATATAACAATAAAACCAACGGAATGATTACAAAAATTGTTGAAAATGGCCCCCTTCACTCAGTATGCATGCTTCCGCCCTCCTTCTCGTGGAATTGCCCACTAGTTGAAATATCCCTGGAGTGTTTTTTATTCTATCACATGCTGCAACTATTCTTTCTCTTAATTTCTCTAAATTTTTAATGGAACCTGTGTACACTAGTGTCTTAAGATAGCCCCACAAAAAAAGAAAATCTAAACTTTTGAGGTCTGGGGGACAGTTTGTAAATACCTGTAATTACGAACCGCTACACTGAAATGCGCTGATGCATCATCTTTCATGTACCACATATTGTATCTTATTACTAACGTAACATCATCAAGCAGCAAAGGCAACTGTTGTTGAAGAAAATTGAAGTAAGTCTGTCCGTCTAGTCGTCCCGGCAAGAAGAATGTGCCAATAAAGTGGTTGCCAATAATTCCTGCCCATACGTTAACCGAAAATTGGTGTTGGAAATGGGTTTCGATTACGGCATAGGGATTTTCTTCTACCCACAAATGGTTATTGTGGAAATTCTGAATGGCATTTCAAGAAAAATTAGCTTCGTCCGTGAACAGAACACTGATTCAAATTGCAGATTTTGTGTAATTTTTTGAAGATACCACTGACAAAAAATCACACGCCTTGGAAAATCAATGGGAAGTAATGCCTGTACTCTTAAAATATGGTAAGGATATAACAAAAAATCTACTAAAATCCTCCAATTTGATGACAAATATTTAAGTGTCTAGCGATCTTCCTTGTACTCGATTCAGGATGTTCTTCGACTTCGTGCAGCACTGCTTCCTCAATTTCAGGTGTTTTCACACTTAGAGTTCTACCTTCAGATATTCCTTTTCGGACAGAACCAGTTTCAAGAAGACGAATGAATATTAGAAAAGGTTCGACTATCTGGCAAAGCACGATCGGGATATCTCTGGTGATAAATCTGTCTGGCTTGCTCACCATTACCGTCGGCAAGGCTATATAAGATATGCATTTCTGCCATTTCTGCATTTGAATAATTCACCATTATTAACAAGATTGTAAATCCTAAATAATGAAAAAGATGTCACAGCGAACAGATTTGAATAACAGAGACTTGTCAGATGTCAAAAGCTAATGATATATTCCAGAGCAACTAGATATTTATTGCTAAATTGTATTCTTCAATTATTTCATTAATTTTCTCGGATAATAGAACAACTTTTATTTTTTTACTCAAAAATGGATGATGCGCCAGGAAAGCAACTCAAGACAGATTATTTGTTTTAAATTGAACGGGGAATACAAAAATAATTTTTATTTGGCAAAAGACGATTGGCGTACCATTTTTTTCTTAAAAAATATCGAAGTCAATACCCGTACGCACGCCACTGTTAAAGTTAAAAATTGTTTTTGCATTGAAAAATATGCAACTTTATCAACTTTCACTACGAACTAAATATCAGCGAAATATCTGAAACGGTTCCAATTTCCATTTTTTTCCTAAAACTCCAACACCCCGAGTTTTTGTAAGGAAACATTTTTGGACCATAGTTTATAAAGCAAACTACCATTAATTTTCCATGTAGATTCACACTCTTAAATATTCGCATATCATTAAGGAACACCCTGTATATGAAACCTCAAAACAGCAGAGCGCTAGCACGGATCAGCAAAAATCTAGATATGATTCCATGACCATTAGGGTACCCCAGCCTATGAGGCAAACCAATTTTTGTTCGAATTGAGATACGGATACCCTCTGTTTTTTCCATTTGAATCTAACAACTCAAAAAGTAAATACTATTGCGATCGGAGAGCGACTTTCGATCAAACTTTGAATTTGAAAGTTAATATCGATTTCAAAACCTAATTCTTATTAGACAAATGGACCACTGCTCTATTTGTAACATACAGTTTCATCGATATTTATCATTATTACTAAATTTTCTTTTCAAATTTTTCTTTGTACAGTACACATCGTAATAAAAATTGTTTTTGTTCCTCATCAGCAGTGATTAAGCCTTGGAAGTCTTGCATTTATTTGCCTGCTCTTTCGCCGTATCGCTGACTGCTCTCAGTGTTTACACCTTATTCTTAGCCTGTTGAAAAAAATCATTTTGTTGCCATGAAGTTGGAGACTCGTTCAGAAAACTGTCATCAATTTTGAGTCGACTGAACTGATCGAAACAAAGTCATCGTTATATTTTATCATTTTATATTTGTTATGTATATTCATTCCATAAAAATTATTATTATTATTGATATTTTTCACTGAAATGAAAAAAAGAAGAATAGCTACCTTCTAAACTTGCTGGTTTTGTCCGTCCTACCTCAGACAGTCAACCATGGTCAGATGTGTTGTGCTTTGTAACAACATATCAGCATCGTCTAGGCCTGGCCTCAGGTCAAGATAACGAATGAAAGCTTAGCAATTAACCGCTATCTGAGGTATAATGTCTATTGAAATAAGACAGTGTAAGGTGAGATGTATTGCCAGAACCGCAGTGGCTTATTTCAACAGTTGGCATATATCGAAGCCGTAGTAGAAGACAAAGGAAAGTTGACTCGTCAGATTTACCATCAAGTAAGCCAGAAAGTTCTTCTTTCGATGGGATGTAGCGTTTACCGTGGGCTAATGGACTTTCTTTGGCTAAATTATCAAACGTTTTTACTTTAGTTTCTTCATATACGCCGTCGGTTTCACGTATATATATTATCACGATGAACTGGTAGATATCTAACAGAACTGCATTATTCTCATTAGAAAGTTTGAGCTGGGATCTTAGTAACGCTATTTTTAATGAATAGATTGCTCTGGCCATCCATCGAGCTTGATGTATGGCGCCTGGCGGTCGCATCTTAAATTTTTTCTCTGTAACTTCTTTCATCAAATGTCGACAAAATTCCAGCAGCTGCCAGTCTTTGAAATATTCAGGCGTGATAGCTTTTCGGTATAAATTTGTATCTTCTCACTTTTCCAGTTATTGCGAAACTTCCTAACATTGGAATGACAGCTTGTAGACCCTTGGTCGCTCTTTGATTCAAACATGCATTTTAACATCAATTCGTAGACGTGATGGCGACGAGCAAAAATAATCATTTCTTTATTAAGTTTCCGTTTCAATAGCTGGCAGGCACCGTTAAGGCGACCGATATTTGAAGCAGTAGTATCATAACAGAGAATCTGAACTTTATCTTCAAGATTCCAGTCAATAATAGCATCTCAAACTGCCTGAGCCTGCTCGCTGCCTGAAAAGTTATCCAATTTGGGCATAGCGATAAGTCGCTCTTTATTTGCATACGTTATAAAAATCGGTAGACTTCTTCTTTAGACTTGCGTGCATTTAAAGGTGGCGGCAATTTGCCATCCCAGTGGACAGTTACGGTATCCGGTACCTCGCTTTAGAAATCAAGCTTTATAGCTTCTGCGCAATGCTTCCGCTTTTCGGTACGAATTTTTGGAACGGAGGACTTGCTTATAGAAAACTGGTAAGTGTCTCAATGGTTGCTTCAATAATAAAAACAGCATTTCTCACACTTAACTGGCATCTATCATTTGAGTTTGATTAGTACCAGGCTGTGTGCTCTGAGTTGGGATGGGCAAAGTTTCTTATAAATCTATCTCGGAATCCGAAGATCAATTTTCTTCCACTGGTGTGTAAGCTGATGTTGAAGGAGTTAAGGAAGCTACATATTTAGCTCGCCGGTTTTGTTCTTCGGTGTTCCTAAGATGCGCCTTTTCCTCTTTTATGGCTAATTTCTTGTCCATCCTAGCTAAATGACCAGGTCGACCTGTCGCTGCAAGAAAATGCTATCTCCATTTATTTTCAACAGTTAAATGGCATCGGCAAGCGCAATATCAAACAGGTTGTCCAAGTTTGTAACAAACTCTTGTCAACGTTGCTTAAACACTTTGCTTGCATTTTTTTGCAAATCTCTCCAAACTTGGTATAAGGTAACTAGTTTCCTAACGCAGTTAGGAAGAAATTTAGTCAGTATTCATGCATTTTCCCAGTAAATAATGCACTCACAAATAGTGAGGTTGGCGCTCTCACTAACACTTAATTTCACTTCCTGGATATTATAGAATAAAACTGTTAGTACTTGTCCATTAGAGGAAAGTTTGGACCGGCAATTTCATGCATTACGGCCCCTATTAAAAATACTCCGTTATTAGAACTGCGTAATTCCTTCGGCGTGTTGACTGAACGAAAACAGTGCGTTTACTAATAGAACAAACGAGCACTGCAATACGTTAGCTAGCGCGCGCCTAATATGCCTGTTTTGACATGTGCCAACGCAACTCGGCACGGGTTGCCCTGGTTCTAGGTACATAAAACTTTATTCACAATTGTTTTGTTATTGTTCAAGCAGAATTAGAGGGTATACGTTTGAAAAAAAAAACCTTTCTATTTTTTTGGGACACCCTAATGACCATGTGGTAATGTAGATCATATCCCTGAGTTTATGGAGGAGAGGAAAAACTATGGAGGCCATAAGGCGTTATTTGAAGTAGGAACGACTATACTCTCCGGTCTTAATCTCACTCACTTTTGCACTCTGATTACACCTCTCCGAATATCTGCGTTCACCAGTTTGTGGTCAAACTTCACCTTCACGTTGTCGTAGTTTTCTGCAGCTGAAAATTGCAGTGCTATATAAAAACTCTAGAGATGATCGTGCAAGCTCTCACCATTCAATAATACTTCATTGAGGGAGTTCCTTCCAATTGAGTAGATACACTAGAAAAAAAGGAAGTATTAGTTCTAGCCAACGAATTCCGGCGCTTCTGTCTGGCAGGCACATCGCGCGGCGACATAATGGAGGAGAGCTCTGAGAAGCAAAGCTCGTTGGCTTAGCATTAGAAGAGAACTAGATCGCCGACGGCCCACCAGTGCAAAAGGGTCCCGACACTGTCCGTTAACAAGAGTCATCGATCAGTCAGAGAGGCTTGTACAGTCATGAGGAGAAAACTACTTCTTAGCCCTAAGCAAATAGCCTAGCTTTCTCCCAACAGCTGCTGCTATTGACGAAATCCTGCAAGTCGAGTGCTTTTCTCAGCCAAGCTGTGAACCGCATTGATCGTACGTGAAATCAGGTCGTTGATATAAAAGAGGAGCCAAGACCGATCCCTGGGGAATACCCGCCTTGACGTTGTGAGATGAAGAGGATAACACGTCAATTACGGCGGATATCTTGCGGCTAGAGAGGAAGTCAACCACCAATCTTCAAAACCTCTCTGGAAGGCCAAGGGTTTGCATAAGAGGTCAGAATACCACAGCTGATCGAACGCTTTCCTGATATCAAGAGCAATGACATGAGCCTCACCGTATGACTGGATGAGTCTACTCCATAATTACGTGACTTATGCTAGGAGATCCCCTGTGAATCGCTGGTGCCAGAAACCATAAGCTAATCAAGCCGCGAAGTTCGAGGTAGTCCATAGGCTCGCGATTTATGCACCTCTCCATCGCCTTACTTATAACAGAAAGCAGAGCTATAGGTCTGTAGTTGTAAGGGTCGATCTTAATTCACTTTTTTGGGGTGGGTTGGACATGAGCAACTTTCCAGTTTTCTGGGAAGGTGCAGGATTCGTAAGATATCTGGCAGAGACGTGAAAGAACTGGAACAAACTCCGCTGCACACCTCAAGAGTCAAGTCCGGACCAGAAGCTTTGTTGATGTCGAGCGACAAGAGCACTCGATTTACGGTCTTATGCCTGAATGTTACTTCCTGCATAGTGTAGGGAACCCTTTGAATCGACGACAGTCAGGTGTTGGGGGGGGGGGGTGTCCAAGGTGCGGTAGGTAGCAAAGGCATTGGCAATCACTTCCACCTTAGCCTTTTAGTCTGTTACAATCGTTCCATCTTGACCCGTAAGTGGTGGTGTGAGAAGTTCCTTTTAATCTGCTTAGTCATCGTCCAGAAAGACCGGCTAATTTTTACATCGTGCTGGTTCTTGGCATTGCGGACCTCCTCGTTTTATTGCACTCGACGTTGGCTTGCTTACTCTCTCCAGTGACGTTTTGTAACAAGGTTTTATGTGCAAATGGGCAAATTCCGCAAAAAGAAGGAAAGTGAGTTCGAGCCGAATATAGGATATATACTTATATTATACATACTTACATTATTGAAAACTGGATCATATGGCATAGACTGCAGTGCGCCGGTTTTACCATGGAGAAGCCTTCCTTGCATTGGTATAGCTGATCCCAAAACAGTTTCCTCCAGCCCAACACTCCTTAAAGCAACGCGACCTCTGTGTGATATGGCAAGATTTATTGACCTTCCTCGCATGTACGTATCTTTTCGAAGATCTGTAAGAATATGTTTAGATGAAAACCGTTGCGTTTGCTTGAGAAGCTATCTATATAAGAATGCTGTTGGCCAACATATTTTATTTGTTTGCAGAAGTATATGTTCCCTTTCACTTCCTATACCTCACTGATGTAGGGAAGTATTGTCACCTCAATTTTTTTAATGAGATATTATATTTTTGGATTTCATATGACGTGTACATCACGAAACACCATGTCACTCATTTCCTTCGGTCTCTTTGTCGGTATGTCCGTCTGACTGACTGTCAGTCTGTCCTTGGCCACTCTATAACTTGGAAAGTACTGCTCTGATTTTGATGAAATTTCCATACAAGGTTACTGCTATCCCAAAGACGAAAGAGCTTTATAGTTTTTGAAAATTGGCCCCATGCGGTGCGATACAGAGGTCAATCACTGAGTTCAATGCTCAGCTTCTGCAGATGGGGATGACGATAAATTGCTCCCCGATGGCGCCCAAGACTGATTCTGGGAATTCGTCATCCCCCAACTACATCAACGTGGATCAGATCAGGATGGTTCACCAACAACTGTTCTTGTAGTCGGTAGTCTACTATACCTTCAAACGCCTGCAAAATAGAACACAGAAGGTGTCCCCAGGCCGTGCCACCAAACTTCCACAGGGGGCCCTAGATATGGCAAGTGCAGCTTTTGTGACAGGAAATTGCAATTATATCCTGGCATAAGGCTGCACATCAAAAAATCCCATCCTATCAAGTAGAACAGGAAGTTAGCAGAAAGCAAGAAGCAGAAGTTTTGGTCAGGCTTGCCAACATCGAAAATTGAAATCGAACCAGAGGTACCTCGTGCACGATATGGTGGCAGCAACAGGGTCGACCCAGCACCAAATCCGTCACAGTAGGTACAAGCCTACTGAGCAGGGCCGTGTCAAACGCATGTTCAGGAAGTCGTTGCATTCAGTGTACAACTTCTTCCCGTTCAAGTGATTGTACACGCGTTAAGTTATACCTCGGTATCGATTGCCGGGTGGCGGTACAACTCCGCCAACGGGCCACTTTTAGGTCTGTTTAACATCATTAACTACCAAAAAGAATGCTCTAGACAAGAAGCAGTCGACCGAGGTGGTACCACCGTCTAGATTTTCCAGGGTGTCTTATGAATGTCCATTTGCTTCCGCACCTAAGCTACGCAGTCGGTTTTCTTCCCTTTCTCTCATAACAAACAAATTAATGATGATGGATTCTTCGAGTACTAAAAACACCGGACGTAAACTTACTCCATACTCGGAATGTCCAAATGGAGGGAACAACATCGATAATAAAATCTGCAACACTGATGCCGTTCACCACTATTTGTAGTCTAATCGTCCTGCCATGCTCTTCTTGGCGGACACCAAAACCTCCGATTCTGCACCGACTAATCTGTATGTGCAACGCCACTGGCAAAATGGGTTTCGACCATCTCCCGCAGGAGCGCGCCACCATCCAGCGCGCAGCCTACCACTGCCGACCGGAAGACCGTTGAAGTTTGAACGGTCCAATGGGATGCCTTCCTCTCGGAGCGACCAGGAGAGAGGCCGGAAGAAGCTACCATTTTGACCATAACCAGAAAATCTGTTCGGTATAGACAATTTTTCAATTACGACAGTTTCTCATGAAATGTACAAACAATACATTGAACAAAAACATAAATGTAATCAATAAAATACAGTCCACTATACACAACATGTAAGCTTACGAAATATATCAAACACGTTTTTTTATTTTTTTTGCATGCGAGCCCAACCCTGTAGCACACTAGAACTTTCCAGAAGTTACACAAGGCAGCTGAGTGTGACTCAACGCGACAGCCCTTACGCCTGTTTACATTATACATTCCATTCCTTCGCTGGGTACCTGCTCCCAGGATAAACTTTGATAGTCTGGCGTAGATGCATTTCAATTATCGCGTGAATCACATCGCTTCTCAGTCCAAGTAGAGTGAACTTCATTACGGTGTTGATGTGCTATTGGGTGTGGTGTTTTAGTTACCTGAAAGGTGAGCTATCACTGAGTGTTTCCTTTATTCTACTGTACTGCATGGATTGATAACCATAATAGTTTTATATTCATGATCATGAATGTCTTAAGCCATGTTTATAAAGATGCTATACTTTTTACCTTCATAATTTAACTTATGGCTTACGACTTGTTATTGAATATCCGCAGGTGGGACGCCTCCAGGTTCTGGGGGTTGTTATGGGACTTTCGGAGCCCGTTTGCTGGGTTGAGGTAGTTATGTAACTTACTGCTCGGTTTCCTCTACCAGGGGAAATGTCGGAGCGCTTTGGATGTTGACACGGTGGCCTTTGGTCGAAGTGGCATCCTTGGTCTTAATGACCGCTTAACTATCTTCACTTGGCAATCGTTGGAGTCTGAATGTATCTCATGGCAGGATGTGTGCAGGGATTGTTACTTTAATGATAGTCATATTGCTCGGTTACCTCTGATTCAGGGGTAATGTCGGAGATTTGGGGTATTGACACAACGGCCTTGGTCGGCGTGATATCCCGGTTCCTGGATTGTCTTTTTGTAACAATCGTTAAACTCAGCACGTCTGACCATACACCTAGCGACCAAAGAGTTATATTGAGTCTGTCGTGATGACTCCTATTGAGTCTGTGTGATGACTCCTATTAAGTCTGTCGTGATGACTTAACGACCAGTCTGTCGTGATGACGGTCAGGATCAGTCTGTCGTGATGACGGTCCCGTGATTCAGTCGATGACGAATCCGTAATAGTAGTTGGGGTACATTAATGTAATGGTAGATAGTAGATTAGTGCATGTGTTATCATGAGTCGGTTGAATACGGGAGATACTCATAAGTCTTTTTCTAAAAATAGGTGTTGGCCCCGACAATCCAATCATATCGCCCTTATCGCTTGCCAAAGGAGGATAACTCGTTGTCGTTTCGTCACCAAGTAAGTGACTTTAATACTACCCTGACATTGTTGCCCATATCGAATTTGTTTACGTACTGCCCGTGTAGTAAAAAATGTAATGGTACGGGGCGGTACTTCGAAATCTTCTAAGATGAGATGTTTTCACGGTTATCGTTATATTGCTATTATCATATTATCAATTTCGTAACCTACATATTTTCTCAGAAGTGGGATCTGAAACTCATGCGTTAGGCCAAACGTTTTTATCAAAACCCTTTATTACAGCTGGAGGAAAGCAAGGCCTCGAAATGTCCGAACAACCAGGTCGCTATGTCTTGAAGCTTCATAGTTCACCATCCGACTCCTCGGATGATGCGATTCCATCGATTTCGACTCAAAATAATGAAGCTGGCATGTTAGATAAGCTATCTTCGGTGATGGCAAATTTGGTCAAAGTTGCTACCAAACCGACAATGTCAGCTAAGGGTGACGTCATCCCTCCGTTCAACCCGGAAGACCGTGATCAATCCTCCGAAAAATGGTGTCATAAAATCGACGAACTACGTGACATCTACGGATGGTCGGAAGAAGCCACCATCCATTTTGCCTTGTCGAAGCTGGAAGGATTGGCAACTACTTGGTACAAGGGACTGCCAACTATCAGGTTCACTTGGTCAGAGTGGAAGGAGAAAATCCAGTTGGCATTTCCGTCTAGGAAGGATTACCATGAAATCCTAGCGGAAATGATGCAGCGCAGAAAACGTCTTGACGAGAGTTATTCTCGTTACTTTTACGAGAAGACGGCCCTGCTAAATGCGTGCGGGATAAGTGGAGAGAACGCCGTATCGTGCATCATAGGGGGAATCGGCGACGTAGTTGTGCAGACCGGAGCCAAGGCGGGTGGTTACGGTACGCCTGAGGCGCTGTACCGTTATCTTTCAACGATCCCTGAAACGTCGGGGGTTCAGACTGCCACCCACGCGCCAGGCTGGGTTAAGGGAAAGAGATTCCAACGGCGTAGTTTTCGTCAAGCAGGTAGATTTTCGGCCCCCGGTCCCGTAAAACGAGCCAGGGTTGATGACGATACTCGCAATCATCGTCGTTGCTACAATTGCGGTGAAACAGGTCATTTTTCACCGAAGTGCACGAAGGAACAGGCCCGCTGTGACCGGTGTCATCGGCGAGGCCATCTGCAGAAATACTGCAGGGAAACAAATAAGAGTCAGCGGGTGGCATGACTAGGAGATGACAAAGATACTCCTAACACCAAATATTACAAATCTGTTCCGGTGAATGGTTGCCCATCAACGGGGTACATAGATTTTGGCAGCACCTGTACCACTAGCACTCTCGATGAAATCGAAAGGTTGGGTATTTCTTATGATCCTTCGGAATCGGCCGTACTGAGGGGTTATGGAAACGCTCTAACTCGATCGCTGGGTTCTTGTAAGTTAAACATCGAGATTGATGGCGTTAATGCAATTTTAAAGGCCCAGGTGGTGCTAAGTCGTGTCCAAAAAACGCCTTTACTTGTTGGACAATCCTTCACTGAACAGTCCCACATTTTGGCAGTCAAGGATAACGATAAGTTGACTTTTACGGCTCTTTGCAGGGACCACTCCCCGGAAGTGAAAAAGACAGAGGTCTGGGTGGCACAAAATGTGATAGTGCCAGCCCATCATTTTGCCAATGTTAGGGTGACAGTAGCTGGATTTGAGGGAGACTTGTTCGTAGATGCGAGCCTCCGACCTGAAGAAGGCCGAGAGTCTTGCATACCTAGGACAATAATACGCGTAAATCGAGACACTGTTATTCGACTGCCGTTTGTCAACCTGTCCGATAATGACATTACGTTGAAGGCGGGGCGCGTATTGGCTCGCGGGTGGCCATGCTCCGAAGAGCAAGAACCTTCTGAGGTCATTAGGAAACTGGACATAACAACTCTCGAAAAGCTTAAAAAGGAAGATATCATGGTTGGGCCCATATCGGAGGTACAGCGAGGAAAACTAGTTAGCTTGCTGAACCAATATCGCGACTGTTTCGCTCAGTCGATGGCTGAACTCGGCGAGGCTAAGTCCGCTGAAATGAGTATTCAGCTTAAAGAGGATCGACCATTCACTTATCGTCCTTACCGAATGGCTCGCTCAGAGCAAGAGGCTGTGAAGGAGATAGTCGATGATCTTCTGAGCAACGAAGTCGTACGAGCGTCAGACTCAAACTATGCATCCCCGGTTCTTCTGGTCAAGAAGAAAAATGGCGAACAAAGGTTATGTGTCGACTATCGCCATTTGAATGCAATCACAGTCAAGGACAATCACCCCTTGCCAAGAATCGATGACCAAATCGACAGGCTCCGCGGCGGGATCTATTTCACTAGTCTAGATCTTAGGTCCGGGTACTACCATATCCCTATGGAGGAGGAATCGAGGCGATACACAGCGTTTGTCACTCCGGGGGGCCTCTATGAATTCAATAGAGTCCCTTTCGGCCTCTCAAATGCACCTAGAGTTTTTCAGAGGCTTATGAACCGGTTGCTCAAGCCGGCGCAAGACATTGCAGCTGTATATCTTGATGATGTATTGCTGCATGCTAAGACTGCGGAGGAAGCATTGGAGGGTATCCAAAAGGTATTGGAAATCTTTAGAGAGGAAGGCCTCACTTTGAACTTGAAGAAATGTGCGTTTCTGATGAGATCAGTTACATTTCTGGGTTTCCAAATAGAGGATGGAAAGGTCAGACCCGGTGAGGAGAAGACAAAAGCGGTGGAGAGTTTTCGTCAACCAAGAACTGTACACCAAGTCCGACAGTTCCTTGGACTAACAGGATACTTTAGGCATTTTGTAAAGGACTACGCTATCGTAGCTAAACCCCTCACAAATCTTCTCAGAAAGAGTGTGTCTTGGCGATGGGGCGAGCAGGAAGAAGGCTCATTTAGGAAGTTGCAGAGCAACTTAGTGAGTCGGCCAGTTTTGGCTTTGTATGACACAGCCGCTGCGACTGAAGTTCATTGCGACGCAAGTATGCTGGGCGTTGCAGGAATACTGTTGCAAATGCAGCCCGATGAGCGGCTTCACCCAGTGGCGTACTATAGTAGACAAACCACCGATGGTGAGCAGAAGTACCACTCATATGAGTTGGAGACTCTGGCGGTGGTTGAGAGTTTGAAAAAGTTCCGGGTATATCTGCTAGGGGTTCATTTCATAGTAGTGACAGACTGTAATGCATTGAAGGCCACCAGTGTAAAGAAGCAAATAATACCCAGAATTGCTAGGTGGTGGTTGCAACTCCAGGAGTTTGACTTTGAAGTGAAGTACAGACCTGGAGCTCGAATGGCACACGTGGATTGTCTGAGTAGAAATCCAGTCGGTTGTGCTGACGGGAATGTCGAATCGGAAACGGTGTTCCGAGTTGAGCAGGCTGATTGGGTATTATCTGGCCAGCTTACCGACGAGAAGATCAAGCGAATTCACGATATCTTGTCCAGACCGCCTACGTCGAACGAGGAAAAGCAAGTCTACAAGGACTATGCTTTGAGGGACGGACGAGTATATCGTGTTACGGTTCGAGGTATACAATGGGTTGTGCCACGAGGAATGCGTCATCAAGTAGTGAAAGCGGCTCATGATGATTTTGGTCACTTTGCCGTGGACAAAACATTGTATCGTTTAACGGATCACTACTGGTTTCCAAGGATGAGGAAGTATGTGGAGAAATATATTTCTTGCTGCATCCCATGCCTGTATAACAAGAAACCAGCTGGTAGAAAGGAAGGGTTTTTGCACCCGATTCCGAAAACTCCAACTCCTTTCTCCACGGTGCACGTTGACCACATGGGACCATTCCCAAAGAGTAGGAAAGGCAATTGTCACATTTTAGCGATAATTGATGGGTTCACGAAATTTGTCGCACTGAAGGCCGTAAAGTCGACAAAGACTAAATATGTGATAGATCACATCACAACCCTGTCAGCGACATATGGAGTACCTAGAGTACTAATCAGTGATCAAGGAAGCTCGTTTACAGCCAAGAAATTCAGAGATTTCTGCCATCAGAACAATATCAAACATGTTCTGAATGCTGTAGCGACGCCCAGGGCAAACGGACAAGTAGAGCGGTTAAATCGGACGTTGCTGAACGCTTTACTTACATCGACGTTGGAGGAAGACCTGTGGGACAGAGAACTTCCGAATGTTCAGTTTGCCATAAACAACGTCCCAAATAAGTCTACAGGGAAAACTCCAAGTCAACTTTTATTTGGTTATGGACCTCGAAAAGGTGTGGATATGGTTCTAAAGGACGAAGTTAGTCAAGTCCACATACTCCTCGAAGACCTTGTTGCCACAAGGGAGAGAGCTGCCCGAAAAATAGAGGCAGCTCAACAGAAACAAAAAGCCAGTTTTGACAAGAAGCGGAAGGCTCCGCGGAAATATAGACCAGGCGATTTAGTCTTGGTCGAAAAGCAGAATCCTGCTACGGGGGCGAGTCGGAAATTGCAGTCACTTTATAGCGGTCCATTGGTTGTTAAAGCGGCTTTGCCTAACGATAGGTATGTTGTATCGGACATGGGGGGATCGCACCGTACCGGGAGAAAGGCGAATTATGAGAGGACGGTTGCGGTGGACAGGATGAAACCTTGGTGTACACCAGGAGGTGTTTCGGACGACACGGGTAGCGAAAGTGGTGACGATGGGGTCCCACTTCCAGCGTCGTCGGGCAGCGAATGATCACCTCGGGGCGAGGTGAATGTCGGATGGCCGAATGTAAGCTTACGAAATATATCAAACACGTTTTTTTATTTTTTTTGCATGCGAGCCCAACCCTGTAGCACACTAGAACTTTCCAGAAGTTACACAAGGCAGCTGAGTGTGACTCAACGCGACAGCCCTTACGCCTGTTTACATTATACATTCCATTCCTTCGCTGGGTACCTGCTCCCAGGATAAACTTTGATAGTCTGGCGTAGATGCATTTCAATTATCGCGTGAATCACATCGCTTCTCAGTCCAAGTAGAGTGAACTTCATTACGGTGTTGATGTGCTATTGGGTGTGGTGTTTTAGTTACCTGAAAGGTGAGCTATCACTGAGTGTTTCCTTTATTCTACTGTACTGCATGGATTGATAACCATAATAGTTTTATATTCATGATCATGAATGTCTTAAGCCATGTTTATAAAGATGCTATACTTTTTACCTTCATAATTTAACTTATGGCTTACGACTTGTTATTGAATATCCGCAGGTGGGACGCCTCCAGGTTCTGGGGGTTGTTATGGGACTTTCGGAGCCCGTTTGCTGGGTTGAGGTAGTTATGTAACTTACTGCTCGGTTTCCTCTACCAGGGGAAATGTCGGAGCGCTTTGGATGTTGACACGGTGGCCTTTGGTCGAAGTGGCATCCTTGGTCTTAATGACCGCTTAACTATCTTCACTTGGCAATCGTTGGAGTCTGAATGTATCTCATGGCAGGATGTGTGCAGGGATTGTTACTTTAATGATAGTCATATTGCTCGGTTACCTCTGATTCAGGGGTAATGTCGGAGATTTGGGGTATTGACACAACGGCCTTGGTCGGCGTGATATCCCGGTTCCTGGATTGTCTTTTTGTAACAATCGTTAAACTCAGCACGTCTGACCATACACCTAGCGTCCAAAGAGTTATATTGAGTCTGTCGTGATGACTCCTATTGAGTCTGTGTGATGACTCCTATTAAGTCTGTCGTGATGACTTAACGACCAGTCTGTCGTGATGACGGTCAGGATCAGTCTGTCGTGATGACGGTCCCGTGATTCAGTCGATGACGAATCCGTAATAGTAGTTGGGGTACATTAATGTAATGGTAGATAGTAGATTAGTGCATGTGTTATCATGAGTCGGTTGAATACGGGAGATACTCATAAGTCTTTTTCTAAAAATAAGTGTTGGCCCCGACAATCCAATCATATCGCCCTTATCGCTTGCCAAAGGAGGATAACTCGTTGTCGTTTCGTCACCAAGTAAGTGACTTTAATACTACCCTGACATTGTTGCCCATATCGAATTTGTTTACGTACTGCCCGTGTAGTAAAAAATGTAATGGTACGGGGCGGTACTTCGAAATCTTCTAAGATGAGATGTTTTCACGGTTATCGTTATATTGCTATTATCATATTATCAATTTCGTATCCTACAAACATTTGGTCCTTCGAGCCGGATAGCCAGTGAAACAAGCAAGTAAACAAGAAACAAGTTCACAAGTGCAGGCGGCAGGCAAGAATCCACGCCATATTCACAGAAGTTCAACGCAATCAGCAATACAAGTGGAAGACAGAAATCCACGCAGGTACCCATTTACCATTTCCTTGATTCAGTCAATATAGCGACAAATGCTACTTTGAATTTCGACTCGTATTACATGTGCAGGCATTCAACAGCCTAGAAAAGCAATATACTCTCAAGTGAGAACGTTTACTGGTGTCAATTTATGCCCAATTCATCAATTTCGATCATTTTTTATCGATACTCATTCACATAAAGCAATTACACAATGGCACAATCAGTTTTGATCAGGAAACGAGGCACAATCAAAGCCAAGTTGGCTCATTTTGAAAAATTCTTGAACAGCGTACAGCCTCAAGATTTAGACAGACAAACTATAATTCATATGCAAGAACGGTGTACTAAATTCGAAACCCTTTTTGACAGCTTCGATGAAATTCAGTCAGAAATTGAATGTGAATCAGATAATCCAGAAGCATGCTATGCAGAAAGAGAGGATTTTGAAACCAAGTTCTATCTTCAGCTCTCAAGAGCTAAATGTTTATTAGAATCACAAAATAATCTCAGTAACAACATTCCTCACAACAATGATGATCACAATGATGACACTAAATCACAACAATCTGAATCTGATACGCAATCAATTTCAGAGCAATCAGTTTACACACAAGGTCAGGCCACTCATGTTATTCAGTCACAAAATGATGGCTTCAAACTGCCTGATTTAGATTTACCAAAATTCAATGGCGAATATGAGTCTTGGATGGAGTTTCGGGAAACCTTCGAGTCCATGATACATATGAATACACAGCTACACAACATACGTAAGTTTCACTATTTGCGGGCTTCATTAGCAGGAGATGCAAACCGTGTAATTCAAGAAATCGAATTTACAGCAGACAACTACAGCATAGCTTGGCAAGTTCTTAGAGACAGGTATGATAACAAACAGGTTCTAATTCAAAATCATTTACGTGCAATTTGCAACTTTGAGGGTTTCAGCACTGCTTCATCAGCAAAAATCAGAGAAGTATCTGAGAATCTTTTCAAACATTTAAAAAGTCTAAATCAGTTAGGTATCAGCATAGAAAAGTGGGATGTCCTAGTCATCTATTTAACAGTCAGTAAATTAGATCGCTATTCAAGCCAAGAGTGGGAGCGGCACACAGCAAATACAGATATACCCACATTGGTTGAGTTTAAAGATTTCCTCAGAAAAAGAGCAACATTGTTAGAAAAACTAGAAATGAATTATGTTTCAAAAGGTGATTCATCACGATATCAATCAGATAAAAGATATTCAAAGGGTTCTGCTCGTTCAAAGGGTTTAGTCACTAGTGGTATCTCAAATCAAGGTGAAAATGTTAGCAAATCAAACAGTGTTTGTTACAATTGCAAAGGTGATCACAGCATATTTTATTGTTCGGACTTCTTGAAATTATCAGTACAAGAGCGATTCAACAAAGTCAAATCGCTGCAATTGTGCCTGAATTGTTTAAGAAAGGAACACACGTCGCGTGACTGCAAATCTTCTGGATGCAGGCTATGTCACATTAAGCATAACACGCTTTTACACACAAATCAAAATGTTTCAGTATCAGTAACCCAAGTTGATGAGATCAATGATACACACAATGAATCCAATGAGGTCAAGGTAGGTGCCACCCAATGCACTCTAGTAGCAGCACAGAATGCCTTACTTGCCACAGCACAGGTGGATGTCACAGGTAAGTCAAGCACACAGCATTTCGTAACAGCACGAGCACTGTTAGATTGTGGCTCGCAATCCTCATTCATAACCACAGATCTATGTAACAAACTAAAGCTACCCAAGTCTAAAGTCAAGTTGGCAGTTACTGGCATAAGTGACAAGCTGTCATATGCTAATTACAAGTGTGAATTAAGCATTCACTCGAGACATAGTCAATATTCAATCCATATGTCATGTTTTGTTTTAGACAAGATAACCTCAATGGTTCCCGACAATAATATTCCTATTCAACATTTCAATTTACCAGTCAACATCAAACTGGCAGATCCAGAATTCAAAGTTACACGAAATATTGACATTTTAATCGGTGCAGAGGTTTTTTGGCAAATCTTAGAGAGTGAACGCATCAACATTAGTAAAGATTTACCCATTTTGCAAAATACCAAATTAGGTTGGGTCCTCGCTGGTCCATTATCCATGCCAGTCACAAAAACTCAATGTCATTTGTCAGTAACAGATCCTTTACAGAATCAGTTAAGAAAGTTCTGGGAGCTGGAAGAAATCCCATTTGATTCCCCGGCTTGGTCCCCAGAAGAGCGTTTATGCGAAAAACATTTTATTGAAAATCTGCAAGTTTTAGAAAACGGACGTTTCATGGTGTCATTGCCATTCAAAGAATCTCCAGACAAGCTGGGTCATTCACGAGAGGTAGCAATTAAACGTTTCGTTGCATTAGAAAGGAAATTCGCTTCAAATGATCATTTCAGACAACTTTATACGGATTTTTTAAAGGAATATGCGTCATTAGGTCACATGACAGAAATCACAGACATTAATCATGAGCCAGAATACTATCTTCCTCACCACGGTGTCCTAAAGGAATCGTCAGCCACAACAAAGCTGAGAGTAGTTTTCAATGCTTCATCTCCAACCTCGACAGGAGTTTCCTTGAACGACCTTCAAATGACAGGTCCAATAATCCAACAGGATTTGCTTTCAGTCATATTGCGTTTTCGATTCAAAAATATTGTTCTTTCAAGCGACATCAAAATGATGTACAGACAAGTTCTTATTCATTCAGATCAAAGAAATTTACAAAAAATAGTTTGGCGCTCCAGTCCAGATGAAGATTTAAAGACGTATCATTTAAATACAGTGACTTATGGCACCACAGCTGCTTCATTTCTAGCCATTCGTTGCTTACATGAAATCGCATTCAGATGCAAGCATGAATTTCCCTCAATATCAAAGATAATAAAGAATGACATGTACGTGGATGATCTATTGACGGGCGTAGATACACTAGAAGAAGCCGTATATGTATGTCAGAATATTTCCAAAATACTTCAAAAGCACGGTTTTGAATTACGAAAGTGGAAGTCAAATAATTTAGATGTTTTAAAGGGCTTTGATTCAGTTAACAGTAATCATTTAGTCGATTTCACAAGCAAGGACGATCTAACGAGCAAAACTTTAGGACTCGTGTGGCGTCCAGAATCAGACATTCTTACATATAAAATTCATTCTGAAACTAACCACACAGCGAATATTACCAAAAGGCAAATTTTGTCGAAAATTTCAACTATCTTTGACCCACTAGGGTTGCTTAGTCCTTGCGTAATCAAGGCTAAGGTCCTATTGCAATCACTTTGGGCGGAAAGTATAGCCTGGGACACTCCGCTGCCAGTTGACATGCGCAAGTCATGGCTCAGTCTTGCAGAAGGCTTAAATATTTTGAATAAGCTTATCATCAATCGCAAGGTAGTATGTGATAAGGCAACGGCAATATCAATGCATGCATTTGCAGATGCTTCGGAAAAAAGCTACGGAGCATGCGTATACATTGTATCTGAAAATGCAAGTGGTAATAAAACCGCCAACCTTCTGTGCGCTAAATCTAAGGTTGCGCCTATCAAATCTCAATCAATGCCTCGACTAGAATTATGCGCTGCGTTAGTTGCGTCTCAATTAATTGCAAAAATATCAAAATCAATTGACACCTCATTCAGTTCCATTCACTGTTGGACGGACTCTACGATTGTTTTGGGCTGGCTAAAATCCAACCCTAGTACTTTGAAACCATTTGTAGCCAATCGCGTCTCAGAAATTCAGCGACTGACAGAATCTATAGAATGGCATCATGTTTCCACTCTGGGCAACCCAGCTGACATTGTCTCGAGAGGTCTCAGCCCTAGTTCTCTAATGCATTCAAAGTTATGGTTTCATGGACCAGACTGGTTATTATACCTCGATCAATGGCCAACCTCGCCAATATTATTATAAGAACTACCGGAGCAGAGGAAAGTGTGTAATGTTTCCTCCACACCAGCAATTCATTTTCCCTTTCATAGATTCTCCACCCTAACCAAATTAAAACACTGTTCAGCGTATATTTTGAGATTTATAAATAATTCACGTTTAAAACCAGGTGATCGTGCGCTTGAGCATTTTACAGTAAACGAACTAGAAAGATCCTTCACCTTTTTGATACGATTAGCGCAACAGGAAGCGTTTTCAGAGGAGATCAGTTCTTTACAAAAGAATCGTAAACTTCAATGCAATAACCGCTTAGTTAGCTTAAACCCATTCATAGACGAATGCGGAATCATGCGCGTTGGAGGGCGCTTGGTAAACTCTGAATATCCGTATGATAAAAAGCATCCAATTGTGCTTCCTCAAAAACACCACCTTACTAGACTTATATTCGAACATGAGCATCGGACCTTACTTCACGCGGGTCCGCAACTTTTGCTAGCTACCATACGAGAGAATTTTTGGCCCATTTCCGGGCGCAATCTGGCACGAAAAATAGTACGGGAATGCGTAATTTGCGCTAGGCATGCTGCACGTAACTTTCAACCAATCATGGGTTCATTGCCTAAGGCTCGCGCTCATCCTTCTTTACCATTTTCGCATGTCGGAATTGATTGTGCGGGACCTTTTGCAATCAAAGACAAAAGAGGACGAGGTTGCAAAGTTATAAAATGTTGGGTAGCTCTATTCGTATGCTTCAGTACTCGAGCCATTCATTTGGAACTTGTGTTATCATTGAGCACCGATGACTTCCTCCAAGCACTTCATCGTTTTATTGCTAGACGTGGTAAGCCATTAGAAATATTCTCCGACAACGGTACCAATTTCATTGGGGCTGCTAAAGAGGTAAAGTATATGTACACCTTTCTTAATGAGAATTCAGAGACAATTTATTCCAAAACTGCTGACATGGGCATAAAGTGGCATTTCATACCAGTAAACTCCCCTCACTTCGGCGGAATATGGGAAGCCGGTGTAAAAGGTGTAAAACATCACTTAAAGAGATCAGTGGGACTTCATAAACTTTATCTTTTAGACTTTCAAACGCTTTTAATTCGCATTGAAGCTATATTGAACTCCCGTCCTTTATTTCCTTTGAGCTCTGACCCTGAAGATTTGACCCCTTTAACGCCTGCTCACTTCTTAATTGGTAAATCGATGCAGACTCTGCCAGTACCTACAAATATGTCTGCCCCCGAAAATAGATTGAGCCAATTCCAGTTATTAGACCGCCTGCACAGCCATTTTTGGACTAGATGGAGCAAAGAATATATCAGCGAACTGCAACAGCGCTGTCGTTGGAAGCAAACCCGAGGAGATCTACAGATAGAACAGCTAGTGCTAATGAAAGACGACAACGCCCCTCCAGCCAAGTGGCGTCTTGGAAGAGTCATTCAGCTGTCACCTGGCACCGACGGCGTCCCCCGAGTTGCATCGTTGAAAACCGAGAACGGAATGACTTCTAGAGCTATCAACCGCCTGGTTCCATTGCCGGTTGTCCATCCGCAGGATTCCCATGTCCGGGGCATGTATGTGCTACGCCACTGGCAAAATGGGTTTCGACCATCTCCCGCAGGAGCGCGCCACCATCCAGCGCGCAGCCTACCACTGCCGACCGGAAGACCGTTGAAGTTTGAACGGTCCAATGGGATGCCTTCCTCTCGGAGCGACCAGGAGAGAGGCCGGAAGAAGCTACCATTTTGACCATAACCAGAAAATCTGTTCGGTATAGACAATTTTTCAATTACGACAGTTTCTCATGAAATGTACATACAATACATTGAACAAAAACATAAATGTAATCAATAAAATACAGTCCACTATACACAACAAATCATTTTACCTTTCTAGGTGCACTCAAATTTGAGAAAGAACGGGGAAGTTGTGGATTTTGCCCACAGCAGTATTTCCTGCTCCAGAGACGAATTTTTGGAATCAGACCCGAGGGACATCCTGTGGCTTCGCCTCAACTCCAAAACTTCCCCCAAATTTATTTGCTGCCTTTATAGCTCTCTCTCGGACCATAACTGAAATGATCTACTTGAATACCTTGCTGCCAAGATCGACTTCCAGAATATCAATCACCCCGCTTCAGAGGTAGTCCGCACCGGTGATTTCAATGCCCATAATAAGCTTTGGTTGGGCTTAAACAAGACCGATACAGCAGGTCGTGCAGTTCAAGCGTTCGCTCTTACGAAAGGGCTGATCCAGCTGATGACTGACGAGCCCTACTTTTTCCCCACTTCTCGTCACATGCCAGTACCCTGCTGGATCTCTTACTGATCACGCATTCTGACCCCTACAGCACTGCTGCCCTGTCCCCCCTGGGTAACTCAGACCACGGTGCTGTGGAGGTTAGGTTTCGGTCAGAACCCGCTGTAGCAGCAGAAACTCGTACAGGCCGCAAAACTTGGCATTCCGGACATGCCGACTGGGAGACTTCTTCTCCACCTTTCCTTGGAGAGATGTCTGTTTTGTTGAACATTCTTACAAAATCCCACTGTGAAGAACAGACAAGCCGACGTCGAATCCAGAAACAAATATAGCGAAGCGGCCCGCAATGCCAAACAGCAGCACGATATAAAAGTTAGGCACAGGGTAATGTCGAGAAACAATGGCAGTCGGTCTTTCTGGACGCTAGCCAAGCAGTTAGAAATGAACTTCTTACAGAGTAGCCTTCCACCACTTACGTGTCAGAATGGAACGATTGTAACGGACTCAAAGGCTAAGGCGGAAGTGCTTGCCAAGATCTTTGTTGCCAACTCCACCATGGACGTCCCCCCCAAGGCCGCAGTGCTGTCGATTTAAAGAGTTCCCCACATTATGCGGGAAGTAACATTCAAGCGTAAGACCGTAGGAAGGGTGCTCTTGTTGCTCGACATCAACAAAGCTTATGGCCAGGACTTGATTCCTGCTGTTGTATTAACGAGGTGTGCAACAGAGCTTGCTCCAGTTCTTTCGCGTCTCTTCCAGATATCTTACGAATCCGGCACCTTCCCAGGAAACAGGAAATTTGCTCATGTCCAACCCATCGAAAAAAAGAGATCTAAAACCGACCCTTACAACTACAGGCCTATAGCTCTGCTTTCTGTTATAAGCAAGGTGATGGAGAGGTGCATAAATCGCGATTTCGAACGTCAAGGCTTGATTAGCGGCAGGCAGTATGGTTTCCGGCCCCAACGATCCTCAGGAGAACTCGCATCCAGTCTTACGCACACTTCCATTCTATGGCCTCCCAGACAAGCTTTGCAGATGGGTGGCTGACTTTGTCTCTGGCCGCAAGACAACCATGGTAATTGACGGGTTCTCCTCTTCATCCCACAGCGACAACGCAAGGATCGGTCTTGGCTCCGACGCTGTTCCTTTTTCGTATCAACGACCTCCATTCAGAACGACAAGCCGATCCGTGCAGGTGAGCTGGAGAAAGAAGTCTAGCGGCCACTTCCTCTCTGACGAGCGACCTGGAGGTAATCACAGCTTGGGCACATAACAATCTTGACAAGTTTAATGCTTCCAAAACATAGTACTGTACCTTGATGAATAAAAAGCGTTCCAGCTCTCATCCGGTTTCGATGGATGGCCGAGTTCTGCCAAAGAGCCGTTCATTTCGGATGGTTTGCTACATGACCTCCTCACTCTATACAAGATCCAGATAAGACCTAGCCTCGAGTATTGCTTACACGTTTGAGGTGCTGCCGCTTCGACTACATTTTATATGCTTGATGCTTTCCAGAGGAGGGCTGTTCGAGTGATCGATGACTATTCTCTAACAGACAGTCTCAGGACCGGCGGGCCGCTGGCGATCTGGTTCTCTTCTGCCACTACACCAACAAGCGTTGCTCTTCAGAGCTCTCCTCCATGACGCCGCCGCGCGGAGTGTCTGATAGACTCACCCGCCTGACTTCGGCCTCCCATCCTAACCTTGTCGAACTTCGTACATCCAGAACTGGCAGCTATGACCGCTCCTTTGTACCTAGGGTGTCAAGATTGTGAGACAATATAAAAGAGAAGGTTTTTCCCAGTTCTACTAACCTGAGGCAGTTCAAAAATCATCTACAATGAGTTCCTTGCCGTAGCCAAAGAAGGGTCTCGGATGAGGATCCGGCATCAAAGGCTACCACAAGAAGGTCAGTCCCAAGCGAGCTATTGGCCGTGAGGTAAGAAAGTTTCATGTCACTCTTGGCAATAGGTAGACCGACGCCTGACATCCTGCCTCGGCGAAAGATGTTGCACCAGCATGGAAGAGTCAAGCCATCGTCTGTAGTGGGTCTTTGCGCAACAACTTCAGGAAACTTCTCAAAAGTAGCACATCGCCACCAAGGAAACACAGTCGCCTGCGCGAGCAGCTCACTGGTTGTACACATGTCTCAACAGGGTGGACAATCAGGGTGTAATGACCCATTCTATAGACAACATATACAGCTCCCTACAACCCCCAATCTCCAATATTCAAACCTTACAAAAATGTTTTACTCTAGGAACCTGAACATAGTTTCCAGCATTTTTTTCGGCCACTTTTCTAATAGAATCTAGCTCTAGGTTGATAACAAGAAAACCAATTTACTTGTTTGCTTACTACATGAAAGCACTTAGCCAAGGCAAACAACAGGTTAGACGGTCTTGTTTTTTGATTGTGGACGCAATTGCCTGAGAACTTACCTGACCTCTTTTCGTAAAGCACAACATGGTATCCCTTTTGACCCATAAAGCATGCGCACAGTGATCCAACCTAGAGACAAAAAGATTTTCTTGTAAGTTATACCTGTACTCACCCCTTACATTATATTTCTAATATTTTCCATACTATTATACAGCGTGTCACAAAAGTCCCGGAATGGTTCTGTATTTTCTCGGGTATTTTGAAATAGATCGAGGTCAGGTCTTCAGTAATTTTCAGCAAGGAATTCAACGTTGACCTTGAACTTGAGCTTGACCTTCACCTTCAAGATTAATTTACGTCCAACTTTATTTTCTCAAATAGAAACCCCTATCTTTGATGCCAGCAATCGAAAGAATTCAAAATTTTACGTTCAGGTGCAATCAAAGTCGAAGGTCAGAACTAGTAAAGGTCAAATAAAGATCAAACAGAGGTGCTGTTAGGAAAACCTTAATAAACCTCACAGGATTAGTGAGGAAAATAACTATCAAGATCAGGCCTGTAGCAAATTTTGACGAGTGATCTTAGGTTTGACCTCGAACCTCAACTTCAAGGTCATTTTTCAAATAGCAGCCCGCACGAACAGTATTGGTTAAAAATCATTTGTAACGAGCACCATAGGTCCCCGTTAAAATTTACCCACAGTCTGAACTTACCCGTGAATTGTGTGAGATTTCTAGTTTTGCTAGCAGCACACATTTGGCCTCTATGTGACCTCTACTGGTCACCTTGACCTTGAATTCTAATACATATTTGAACATAAAGTTTCTGACTCTTTGGATTGTCGGCATCAAATAATAGAAAATTAGGAACAATAAAGTTGATCTTAAGATGACCTTGAAGGTTCATGGTCAAATCCAAGAGCATCGACACTTGTGAAAATTTATTAATGACCTGACCTTACCAGTTATTTTCGTCATGGTCTCTGCGAGATTTTATAGAGGTTTTCCCAGCAGCTCCCGCTCTTTCGATTGCCGTTTCCAAAAATAGGGGTTTCCATTAAAAAAAAAATAAAGGTGAAATCTAAGATCACTTCTCAAAATTTACTACAAAATAGACCTCGATAGTTATTTTCATCACTATTGCTGTAAGATTCATAGTGGCTTTCCTAGCAGCACACATTTGACCTCGGTTTGACCTTTAGTGGTCACCATAACCTTGTTCTTCAATTCGTATTTGGACGTAAACTGTTCTGCTCTGTCGATGGTCGACATCAAAAATAGAGTATTTCATTAAAAAATGAAGTTAACCTTGAACTAACCTTGATGGTGATGATTGAGGTCAAATCCAACATCACTCGTAAAAATTTACCTGAGACCTGAGCTTGATAGTTGTTTTCATTACTAATCCTGTGAGATTTATAGAGATTTTCCTAGCAGCACATATTTCACCTTTAGATGATGCCCTGACTTCAATTCGAATTTGAACGTAAAAGTTTCCGTTCTTTCGATTGCCGGCATCAACAATAAGAATTTTCATATAAAATATAGAGTTATCTTTGAAATAACCTTGAAAGTCAATTCAAGGTCAAATACAAGGTCGTAGTTCACTTCCTCGTTATAATTTATTAAGGACCTGTACGGCTACAATGTAAAAAACCCATAAAACATGAAAAAACAATAAAATGTCATCTTGCAGGCTAGGTAGTTTTTAGGGTGCAAATAGTTCATTCCACGCTTGCTCGCTATGGTCGCTATGAGCGTCCACATATGGAGGAATGACTCAACTACACGCATTGTCGGATGCAGAGAGCACGTATGTATTTTTGAAGCCGAGTATGTAGATAATATGTGAAAGAAAGAAAGTTGGTGAATAGCAAGATCGCATCTGGATGATTGTGTAATGCTCTGCATATGTACAAAATCAGTGATATTTGCTATGTGAGAAAATTATTACTGAATATGCTTCCAATGAAGTATATACAGGGTGACTTCAAAGTTGAGTCATTTATTTTAACAGTGAGTAGATCTGATCAAAAGAAATGTTTTTTTCCTTTACCATTTTTCTGGTAAAATTAAAGTAACAAAGTTATAGCCCTTTGGAAGTTTGAGTACCGCCCTGTCTCAATAATAATATTATGTGCTCGTGTTTGGCAACCACGGAGTGAATAGTGGTGTCTGTTGCGTGGCTCAAACGAAATAAAAAATGGCACATGTTTATGCGGATCGGTTTCCCAATCGAGTGCAACCAACCCCTCGTGCCTTTGTTAATGTTGTACAACGGGCTCGTGAATCAGGTGACTTAAGACCTCACAGGGGACGGCATGCCGGTGCTCCAAGACCTCACGATCAAATACAGATCCGCACTGAAATACTTGTCGGGAGGATACTTTATAAAACAAGGTAAACTTTTTTTTTATTTTTTTTTATTTTTACACACATATTTTGGTTTATCTTCCTTCTACAATCATTATCTGAAAATTAATGACTCAACTTCAAAGTCACCCTGTATATATATATTAGCTATGCCCGATGGGTTATTTATATGTTGACCTTTCTGAAGACAGGTTATGTTCAAAGTTATAAATTACAATTTTCCCGTTTTTTTTTGTTTTCAAAAACTTTGAGGAGTATTACGGGAAATCGCCACCGCGCCCGGGTTGTGTGCAATTAAGCCACATCACATAAAAATTAGGAATGACGCATCACACATCAAATATTTTTGCAATGCCTCACATCTAGGCGCTGATTTGTATTTTCTGTTGACACTGCAAAATAAATTTCTGTAAAATTTAAATGACTGGAAATAAAAAATAATGTAATATCCTTTTCACTTTCACAAATATTCCTGTCTGAAGCACCTTTTCTCACCTGTTTATTCACCAAGCAGGGATTTTCTTCTTCCTCTTATCTTTCTCATTTTTGAAAATCAGCAAATTTGCATATGTAATTTCCAGAATGAATAAGAAAAAGTGGATGCGCAAGTAATTTCTAGCTTTGAATCTCAAGTGAGTACCTTTGGGACAAGAAACCAATGGAATTATCATCAACACATATTATTAGCACGCAAATCCTCACTATACACCTATGCACTGCCGTTTCCTTCTAGCTATAGTATACAACTTACAGCTTGAACCTCCAATAATGCCATCTCTATAAAAGATTTTACATCACATCAGAGCCAAACATTGATAACTGAAGCCTCATGACGTTTAGGCAACACGTACATCAGCTAGTGCGAAATTAATATCTTGTAGAAAAACCTACATAATGTCAAAAAAATATCTACAAAATGTCACTTTTTTACCCGTGCGCCCGTGCCGATCTTGAAGTTATTTTCATCACTAAACCTTGAGACTTATAGAGGTTTTCCTAGCAGCATACATTTGTTCTTCATTTGACATTTATTAGTCATCCTGACATTGAATTTTGTGTTTACCGGCCTCAAAAATAAAAGCTTCTATTTGAAAAAATAAAGTTGACCAAGAATTAACCGTGAAAGGTCAAGGACCAAATCAAGGTCACCGTTGAATTGCTTGCTGAAAGTTACTGAAGATCTGACCTTGATCTTTTCCAAAAATACCTCATCCGAGAAAATAGAGAGGCATTCCGGGACTTATGTGTCACGCTGTATAGTTCATTTCACGGTTTTTGTCTGGTCACACTAAAGTTACTGTCATCACCTTTTTACACTCATCTCTCTTACACATACATATGCCACTTGACATGTAGACAGCTTTTGCCAAAATTATTGGAATACTTTGAGAGAGAAAATTCACGTGTGCAGGAGTAGTTGCGTTCAAGGTCGGTTTGCCCAGTGTGCAATTTTCTTATGTAGCTTCAGTTCCGAACATGGCCGAGTCAGTTTGCTTACCCATTTCGTATAGCATTGATGACGTAACTGTTAAAAACCGTCTAGTCAGTTTTTCTCATGTTCCACTCTTATTATTTGATTAACATGTGTGGGATTCTTCCCATTTTTGGCTTAACCTCTCTTGAGGTTAACTCAGTGTTGCGGATGTCGCCTTGTATATACGGCAGGGGTATTACGTATCTTAGAAGGTGAAATTATGTCGGTTTTTTTGATGTTTGTTCGTGACATTATGTAGGTTTTTCTACAAGATGTCAACTTAGCACCAGCTGTTGTTCACTTGTTTGTAGTTATTCCGTAGCAAGAATTATACTAAGTGACATATAAATCCGAACACCCAGTTTAAATGGTTTTATTTTAATAAAATTTTGTATAAGTACTTAATGAAGCATAATAAGTAAATGATAAAAATTTCAAAATGATTGCACTGCTTTAAAGCCCTTTGACCTTTAATAATGTGTGGATGCACCCTGATGTGCAACGCATTCTCCAACGCGCCTAGGCATGCTTCTGATCAGGTGGTCAATGTCCTCCTGTGGTATCTCATTCCAGGCAACCACCAACTCCTCTCGAAGTGCTTCTAGAGTCTGAGGAGGACGTTGCAAATTGAGCAATCCCCTACCCATCATATCCCACACGTGCTCAATAGGGGATAAGTCGGGAGATCTTGGTGGCCATGGTAACAATGTGACATCATTATGTTGAAAGAAGTCTATTGTGACTCTTGCAACATGTGGTCGGACATTATCTTGTTGGAAAGTTGGATCTGCCAGGGTGTCAAGATAGGGTAAAAGATGGGGTCTAGGACTTCGTGGATATAACGCTGCGCGTTCATGTTACCTCTGATGAAGATTAAAGGTGACCTGGAACCATAAGCTATAGCACCCCAAACCATAACTCCAACAGTGTGATGAACATGTCTTTCAACAAAAAACTGTGGATTCCTACTTTCACCACGTCGCCTTCTAACCCTGGCACGACCATCGTGCATGCCTAAACAAAATCGAGACTCGTCACTAAAGACAATACTGTTCCATTCCTGATCCCAGAGTGACCGTTGTCTGCACCACTCAAGGCGATTACGTCGGTGTTCTCGAGTTAAAGGGAGGACCCAGTGTGGCCGGTATGAAAACAAGCCAAAACTTCTCATTCGTCGGTAAACACTTCGCATGCCAATAGGTCTTCCGTGTTCTGCAAACCATTCATTTGCAATGGACCTGGTAGTGGAGAAACGGTCCCTTAAGTCCAATAATCTTAGGCGG